TGTGTGTGAGTGTGACGACATGGTGGAATCAGGAACTCGTCAATTTTTGGGCAAGTGGAGTTATTGGTGTCATCTGAAAGCTGATTTATTTGCCTTGCTTCCAGTGAAAAATATCCATTTATCTTGAATAGAACTCGTTATTTGCGATTGAAGGCAGTGAAGTCACCTGGTTTCAGTGGTGAAATTAGCGAGAAAATGGCTGCCAAAATTTGGTAACTCCAACAGCTAAAAAGAGCCTTTGAAAACTGAAAAATGACATATTTTGTGTCTTTAATCAATGTTTTCCACACTGACATCATGAAGACACACTTCAAACATAATTTTCAGGAAGCTAATCATTTTCATTGTGTACAACATATATTTTGTTGCCGGTTTGTGGCCATGACTCATAATTCTTAAAATGTCTTTTAGGCTATAAATCATATTTCCTGGTCTGCTAGCAGAAATGCCAGAAGGCTAATATGTGAACATGAATTTCTCATATATATATATATATATAAAGTCTTCCTATTCTAGTGTAGATCAAGCATCTGTATAAAAATAAATGATAAAAAGAAAGCAATAAAAAAACAACTAACTACACTATAAATTTAATTTTTATGTTCATTGGTGAGTGAGAGAAAAGGAAACTGAATTCCTCTCTTCATTAGCCTAAAAAGACATAATTTTGTTTCAGTTTGAAACACATAATTAACTAAATAGGCTTAGGCTACCTAATTATACTTGGGGGGTAAAACTGGAAATCGACACACACGACAGTTCTATAGATACTCGTCTGTATTTGTAATGTTAGTGACCTCCCACCACACTGAGTTTAAAAATGCTCTTCTGAGAATGTGAAGCATTGTGTACCGCCTCTAGTCTCTAGCCATACCACTGGTTTCAACCAAGGGAAACGCTTACATTATTTATGCAGTTCTTCAAAAATTCAGTAGCCTATAATGCTTGACGCCTTTCTTTCACCCACCCGCGTAAACTTCGTTATGTGACAAAGAGCAAAGGCATAATATGCTATGAATAAGAATTTTAGAATGAAAAAGAATATTGAGTAAATTAAGTGTCAATGAAACAGCAGGCAAGTCTCTAATTTTTCACAGGAAAATATTCAACCGCCACTTGTCCTGATGTCTGTTTATCTCAAAATCCATTATATTAGGATTATTAGGCCTGTCTTATAATTTTCATGATATAATGCAGGTACCATGAAGTCCATGTGTTCTGCTGTGGCCAAAATCTCCC